ATGAGTTACATTACTCTCACCCAAACTTCAATCAATATTATACCATTAAAACATTTTTATTTGAGTTGACTCTAGGGTTCTACAGGAAAACAGAATTAATAGGATATTTAATATATATATGTAATAGAATTAATAGGATTATACCATATGTACATATATATACACACACATATATATTAATAGGACACAAATATATCATAGATGAATAGGATATACACAGAAAGAGAATATTCATTATGAGGAATTGGCTTACATGATTATGGAGGCTGTGCAGTCACATGCTCTATCATCTGCAAGCACTAGACCCAGGAAAGCCTGTGGTATAGTCCTGAGAATGAGGAGAGATTATGGTGTCTCAGTCTCAAGGCAGGAGAATGCCAGTGACCCACCTGAGGAGTGAGGCCAAATGTCCCCTGCCTCTGCCTTTTTGTTCTATCTATGCCCTCAACAGATTGTATGATGTTCACCCACCCTGGAGAAGGCCATCTGCTTTACTCAATCTAAAGATTCAAATGCTAATCTCATCCAGAAATATTCTCACAGATATACCCAAAAATTAGCATTTAACCAAATATCCAGGTACTCCTTGATCCAGTCAAGTTGACACATAAAATCAATTAGTACACATGTATTTGTTATAAAATGAAGTTTTATAGCACCACAGTTGACAGAAAATCAGTATTACTTGCTATGCCTAGAAATATCTGTAATAAATACAAAGACAATAAAAGGATGTTATTCATTCCTAGTTATATAGCATGGCCTACCAAAGATTCTAATCCTGAGCTCAGCTCTCTACAAAAGAGTGGAATATCAAGTGTCAGAGAAATATTAAAGACACACACCACATGAGTCAGTGTCATTTAAATTTAATGTCCTATCAGCTCCTTGGAGCCCACAGTACTAATTGTTCCAAATTTCTGTAAACATATAGGAGATTTTTATTGAATCTGAAGAGATAGTCACAATTTATTAAATTTTTTAAAAAGCAAGTTGTAATGTGTGTTAGTCCAACTTTTGTATAATAAGCAAAGTCAAAAGAAACTTTTGCATGCTGATTGCTGCTTGTTTTGGTGTGCATGTGGAGAAGTGGATGAACATTTTAGAAAAAGGGCAGCCCGGGTGGCTTGGCAGTTTAGCGCTACCTTAGGCCCAGGGTGTGATCCTGGAGACCTGGGATCGAGTCCCGCGGCGGGCTCCCTGCGTGGAGCCTGCTTCTCCCTCTGCCTGTGTCTCTGCCCCTCTCTCTCTCTCTCTCTCTCTCTCTCTCTCTCTCGTGAATAAATTTTAAAAAAATAAATAAATACATAACCATAGGAAATGATAAGTCAAAAATGATCTAAATTTGGATTTTAATATAGTCCCACCTAATAAACCACCAAGGCTGTTAACATTGATTAGGAGAAAGAATGATGAAAAGTCTTTTAAGTCTTTTACTATATTGCTTTTAATTATGGGCTTGTATTACTTTTGACTTTTTTCACAATTCTAATTAATAAAAGCATTCTAAAAGAAATGAAAAGAAAGAGACCATGTAGCCCGAGCCACCAAAAGCTGTGAATAAGCTGCAAATCCTTGGTTATATGTCAGTTATATCTCAATAAAGTGGGGGGCAGGGGGTAGAGGGGAAAAGGTACAAGTCCTTGGGTAAATCACGCACCATTTCTCCAATCCACCTCAGTGCTATTGACATTTGGGTTCAAATAATTAAGGTGTTTAAGTAACTCGTAAGAACAGAGCAGTAACAGCCCTCCAGGTGGTCTGTCCATTTGGACAAGGATGGAACACTTTCATCCCATGGATAAAGTTCCATCAGTAGTTAAGGACTTGGGGGCATTGAGGCCTTTTCCTCAGTTGTGAGGGGTAGTCTTGTGTATTGTAGGATGTTTGGCAGCGTCCCTGGTTTCTACCTAGTGATGACAGGAGCATCGCCCACCCCTAGTCAAATGAAAGCCAGAAATGTCCACAGAAGTTGCCACATGTTGCCTGGAGGCAGAGTCACCCCTGGTTGAGAACCCCTGCTCTAGTTCTCAATTTCTCATTAGTAATGAGATACGCTTTGAACCAAGTGTTCTCTGAGTTCCCTCGAAGCTCTGACATTGTTTGACTTCATCAACTTTGAATCTACCACGGTTTCCAGAAGCTGTTTTCCTCTAGAGCCACTAGAGGGGACACTCTGCAACAGTAAGGATAGAACAGAGCACTTGGGCAACTTTGTTTTCTTCTCCTTGTGGACTTTGTTGTCTCTGATTCGAAGGGCCTGGCCTTTAATACATTGGCTTTGATGTCGAGAGTGATAACCCTTACCCACAAGGCATGTTGAGCTGTTTGTCTTGTGCTCCGTGCCATAAAAGTCAGCATTTTTGGATATGGTAGCAGAGAGCAAAGTGTTCTTTGCTTTTTAAACATTCAGGCAGTCAGGTGAATAATAGTACTAAAAAGAAGTTATTTGTCTCCATGAGGAAAGCCCGTGGGATGACCAGGCTAGGAGGGGAAAGATTCAGTTCTCTTCCTGGTCCTGCCACATCCAGTCTGTGTGATGTTGGCTGAGTCTCTTAACCTTTCTGGTTCTGTATAGCAGCTGAGGAGATAAGCTGAGAGGTTAAGGTCACACATGGAGTTAAATGGTCAAGCAAGGGTTTGGATCTGACCTGTCAACTTCGTGGGATAGTTGTGCAAACCAAAGGAGATGGTGTATGTGAACGAGTTTCGAAGAACAGAAAACCCTGTACAAGTTCAGGGTGTGGATTTGCAGGTATTAGGAGAACAAGAGGTGATGACTACAGGTAGCATGAGGGGTAGTGCATGAGGGAATGGCGCAAGGGTAACTCCATGGAGGTAACAGAAATAATCCTCCATCAAGTGTTATAAATTATAGAAAAGAGATCTCAATGCCCCCAAGTCTTTCATTACCACTGGAGCTTCATCCCTGGGACTTAGGTGTTCTATCCTCATCCAAATGGACAGACCCCTTGGAGGAGTGTTACTTTATGCTCTTATGAGTTGCTTAAACACCCTAATGAAAACGAAACATCTATTCCAACATAATTTTTTTAACTTTTTTTTTTAAACTCTGAACCACGGTAACAAATGGTAACAAATGTATTTCACATAGAGACACACAGCTCACACACTATTATAAAATTGAAACAAAAGTCTTGCAACATACTTTAATTTTTCTGTTCTGTTTTATTTTGTCACTTGAAACTACTGCTGCATCTGACCCAATAAATGGTACTGAACTGCAGTTTTAAAAACACTGTTCTAGGAATCCCTGGGTGGCGCAGTGGTTTGGCGCCTGCCTTTGGCCCAAGGCGCGATCCTGGAGACCCGGGATCGAATCCCACGTCAGGCTCCCGGTGCATGGAGCCTGCTTCTCCCTCTGCCTATGTCTCTGCCTCTCTCTCTCTCTGTGACTATCATAAATAAATAAAATAAAAATAAAATAAAATAAAAACACCGTTCTAGAGGTTTTTATGGGAGGATAGCATCATAGAGCTGGGCTGAGGAAACAGGAGATAAGACCTCCAAACATTATGCAGGGAGCCTCAACGATGAATTTTTTACAATTTTATAGGGGCTGGTTCTTTGAGGAATGACTCAGGAAGAGGGAAGAAAAAGCAATAATAACAAATTCATCTAAATGAATAAGGATGGGCTACTGAGCAGTAGCATCCCCACTGGATTCTCAGAGGTCATGATTTAAACTCCACAATATTAACATAAAGTACAGATGGACATAATTTAGCCACCACCATAACAAAAATAAAAACCCAGGGGTACCTGGGTCGATTAAGCATCTGCCTTCAACTCAGGTCCTAACCCCAGGTTCCTGGGATCGTGCCCATGTTGGGGCTCCCTGCTTGGGGGGAATCTGCTTCTCTTTCTCCCTCTATTTCTCCCTGGTCATGTTCTCTCTCACTCACTCTCTCTCTCTCTCTCAAATAAATAAATAAATAAATAAATAAATAAATAAATAAAATCTTTAAAAAACAAAAACCCAGTGTTTATTCAGCCCTTATTATATATTAGACATTACGGTGAGCACTTTATATGAGTGGTGATGTACATGAAGTTTGAGAGTTCCCTGGTTTTGTTTTCTTCCTGCACACTGAAAAAAAATGCTGGCTTTGCCTGTCCAGTTTCTTCTCCTCGCCTATCAGAAGAACAGGACAGATGCAGAAGAATTAGAGGCACATTGGTTAGAGTGGGAGAAAAAGCTTTCTAGGGAGTTTGGACAACTATGGAGCATAAGGGGTTTGGATAGGATAGGAAAAAGGATGCTAAGAAGGATTACTGGGAACTCTGTATGGTGCTTGAGAAATTCAAGTATTAAATATGAGTTAATTTGAAATTACTTTTGGTGACTGGACTGGATTTCTTAGATTGTAATATGACCCTGAGACTGGCCCATGTGGGTCATGGTCTCAATAGGGTTACTTAAGCAGGGTTGAGCATCTGCTTTTGGCTCAAGGCCTGATCCCAGGGTCCAGGGGTCAAGTCCTTGCAGGGAGCCTACCTATGTCTCTGCCTCTCTCTCTCTGTGTCTCTCATGAATAAATAAATAAAATCTTTAAAAAAACATAAGGTTACATAAGCATTATCTTACTTAATCTGCATAACAAACCCAGCAGGTGTTATTAATTATTTTTCAGATTTTTTTTAAAAAAAGGAGGTTGACTTTAAGTAACTTTAAAGTCATACAGTTAATAAATGCAGAGCCAGCACTGAAACTTAGGTTTTTCAACCCCCAAAGTACAAGCTCTTAACAAGTCCGTGAGTAAAGATTATTTCCAATACAGGTAATATCAATTAAGAATAAAATAGAATAAGATTTAACAAAAGGAATGTAAGACTTGTACACCAAAAACAATAAAATATTGTTGAAAGAAATTATAGATCTAAATATATGGTAAGGCTTTCCCAGGTTCATGGATCACAAGACTTACTATTGTTGAAATATGAATACCTCCCAAACTTGTCTACAGGTAGAACACAATCTCTGTCAAAATCCCAGCTGGGCTCTTTCTGCCATCTTGGAGCCTGTGGAGGCCTGCTGGGAACAGGACTCCTAAAGCGACGACTATGTCTGGAAGGCTTTGGTCCAAGGCCATTTTTGCCGGCTATAAACGGGGTCTCCGGAACCAGAGGGAGCACTCAGCTCTACTTAAGATCGAAGGTGTTTATGCTCGAGATGAAACTGAGTTCTATCTCGGCAAGCGGTGTGCTTATGTCTACAAAGCAAAGAACAACACAGTAACTCCTGGTGGCAAACCAAACAAAACCAGAGTAATCTGGGGAAAAGTAACTCGTGCTCATGGAAACAGCGGCATGGTTCGTGCCAAATTCCGAAGCAACCTTCCTGCGAAAGCCATGGGCCACAGAATCCGCGTGATGCTGTACCCCTCAAGGATTTAAACTTATGAAAAGTAAATAAATAAAGGTGTAGATTTGTTCTCTTGTATTTTTGTTAAAAAAAAAAAATCCCAGCTGGATTTTCTGCAGGAATTGAGAAGATAATCCTAGAAATCAAATAGAAATTGCAAAGGATTCAAAATGGCCAAAATAATCTTGAAAAAGCACAAGATCGAAGCTGTAGTAATCAAAACAGTGTGGCGCTGGCACAAGAACGAACATCTAGATCCGTGGAATAGAATTAAGAGTCGAGAAATAAACAAATATTTATAGTCAGTTGATTTTTAACAAAGGAGTCAAGATAATTCCATGGGGGGAAAGAATGGACTGTTTTGGAAAAGAAGGTGTTTTTTTGTTTTGTTTTGTTTTGTTTTTTTGTTTGTTTTTAATTTTAGAATAGTTTTAGTTGTCCAGAGTTCTTATGATAGTCTTTCCAACAAATGGTTCTGAATATCCATATGAAAAGAATGACTGTGGAACCCTACCTTATACCATAACAATTAACTTAAAGTGGATCATAGGCCTAAATGTAAGAACTGAAACTATAAATCTATTAGAAGAAAACTTAGGTATAAATCTTTATGACCTTGGGTTAGGCAATAATTTCTCAGATATGATACCAAAAGCACAAGTAATATAAGAGAAGATTGATAACTTGGACTTTATCAACATTAAAAACCTTTCTCCTTCAAAGAATATCATAAAGAAAGTGAAATGACAATGCACAAAGAGGGCGATAATATTTGTGAGACATATATCTGATAAGGGATTTGTATCCAGAATGTATAAAGACTCAACAATAAAAAGAAAAATAATCCAATTTAAAAATGGACAAAGGATTTGAACAAACAGTTACCCAAAGAAGACATACAAATGACTAGGAAGTTCATGAAAAGATGCTCAACATCATTAGTTACTAGGGAGATGCAAATCAAAAGCAAAATGAGATAGCACATGACACCCACTGGGATAGCTAGAAACAAAAAGATAGACAAGAGTGTTGTGAGGATGTGGAGAAATCGGAACTCTCACACATCACTGGTGGGAATGTAAAATGGTGTACTTTGGAAAACAGTTTAACAGCTCCTCAAAACATTAAACATAGGGTACTTGCTTTGGCAGCACATACACCAAAATGGTAAACATAGAATCACCTAATGACCCAATCCAGCAGTTCCACTCCTTGGTATCTACCCAAGAGACATGAAAATATATGTCCACAGAAAAATTTGTACTCGAATGTTCATGGCAACATGACTCGTAGCAGTCAAAAATGGAGACAACTCAAATGTTCATCAATGATATAAACAAAATGTGGTACATCCACACAATAGAATAATACTTGGGCATAAAAAGGAATAAAGTACAGGGGTGCCTTGCTGGCTCAGTTGGTGGAACATGCAACGCTTGATCTCAGAACGGTGGATTCAAGCCCCATGATGGGCAGAGAGCTTCTTAAAAATTTTTAAATAATAAAATAAATAAACTTAAAAAAATTAAGTACGGATACATTCCACAACATAGATAAACTTTGATAATATTATGCTATGTGAAAGAAGCCAGACACAAAGGCCACATAATATGTGATCAATTTATATGAAATGGCCAGAAGATGCAAATCTAAAGAGACAGAATGGCCAGAAGATGCCAATCTAGAGATACAGAAGATTAATGTTTGCCTAGGACGGGAGGGAGGGGTGGTGCACAAGTGAGGAGTGACTACTAATAGGCACATAGTTTCTTTTTGGGGTGATAAAAAGCTTCTAAAATGAGATTACAGGTCCCACAATTCTGTAAATATACTAAAATCCATTAACATGTACACTTTAAGTGAGTTAACCTTATGGTATGTAAATCGTATCTTAATAAATTGTGTTTCTAAAAAGTGAATGAGAGGAGAGAAATTGGAGGCAGCAAGTATAGACCAGTCTTCCAAGGAATTCCTTGAACCCACAAAGGTTTAATTAATTTATTTTTTATTATTTATTTTTTAATTACCAGCGTATAACCACATTTGTTGTAACAAAGGGTTCTCCAGATGGGGTAGAGTTTAGAGGGTGTCATTGTACTTACTTCTCTGTGTCCAAACAATGTAGATGTTTTGTCCAATTCTGATTTGATCCTCACCCTTAGAAGCAACCTCAGAACACGTAGTACAAGGCTCTTCATCCCACGCAAGCTTACTCAACATTTCGCCTTCTTTCCTTTCCTTTTCTCTTCACGTTATCTTGGTCCCACAAGGTGGATGCAAAAATAATCAGCCTCTCTTCGTCTTATTAGAGACATAACTACCTGTGTGTGTGAAGCAAGCAAGGCCACCAGGCCTTTGGGGAAGCAGAGTAGGGAGGTGCCCAGAGGCATTTTCTGCAGAGAGACAAGGAAAGAATAAACAAGCCTTCTGCCAAAAATGCCTGGAACTTAAAGCGCTTTACTCAGCTCAAGGTCAGGCTCTGTGTGGACATTGACAGTGACCCTGATCAGTTGTTTCTGCAATGAAAAGCATGTGGCTTTCTCTCTCCTGAAATTCACCCTCACTAATTCCGCCTTCCTGGGGAGTCAGACCTTAGAACACAAATGTCATTCCTCAGAGTGGCAACTGGCAGAGCTCCCAAGAACAAGGCAACGACACAATGTCCCCAGCTATCAGAGGCATTGATCTCCTGAGCCCAGGAGAGGGGTCTCATGACCAGGTGGGAAAGCAAACTGTGGAGTGGCATGATTGCGGAGGCCAGTTATGACTCCCTCTTCCGTCCCGCAAGGGGCTGGAAATTCCTGGCATTTGTCTCCTTCTTGGAATGAGATATTGACTCTAGGAGAATCATGGAAAAGTACAAGCCATGGATCATAAACCCTAGGAGGAGGAGGTACCTCCAAGATCATCTTTATCCTGGGCCCAGATACCCCCATAAGCAGATGTTCTTCTTGCCAGGCCTCCTCATCTTGGCTCAAACACAGCCACTGACAAGACTCTCCTCTGTCTCAGAAAGGCAGCTGCTGCCTGATAAGGCAGTGCTGAGGGCAGTGACTGCCACTGTCAGGTCCAGCTCTGTTCCTGTCACCTCCAGTCCCTCCTCATACTTGAAACACACCATTGTTCTAACTCCTACTCTAGCTCTTGGAGTCTCTGAGAGCTATCTTATCTTTCTTTCCTTTGGTCTTCTTGCCTGTCCCAGACTTGGGCCATTAGCTGCACTGACCCCACATGTTCACCCATGAGTCCAGGGAGCAATAGTCTCTCTGAGGTACTCAATCCAGTGTTCTCTCACATCCTGCATCCACCACACACCACCAGACCTCCCTGGTTTTGTCTTCCCATCCCAGCTTCTCACCCCCACTTGGACCTGACAACGAACATGCCCTCCTGACCACACTGGGTGTCCCACCAAGACTTAGACTTTGTGCTGACCCATCAAAAGGACATGAGGCCCACTCCTCTAGACAGATCATCCCTAATTGCTCCATTACTTCCTTGTCCAATTGGTTTCAGGCCCCATCATTACCCTTATCTTTGCTTACTTGAATAGGCTGCCCTTGGTCATTATTCACACGTTCACCTCAGCCACTCACCATGGTGGTTCAGAACACAGGATTTGAGATCAAATGATCCAATTTCTGCCATGAACTAGCTGTGAGACTTTAGAGTCCTAATCCCTGAGCATCCATTTTCTCATCTATAGATTTGGGAATAATAACAGTACCTCACCTCATAGCTTTGTCACGATAGTAATAAATGAAATAATCTTTGTAAAGCACGTAGCACAGAGGCTCAACCATACACTGCAAGTATTTAGCGTATATTTTTTATTATTTTATTTTAAAATGATCATCTAAATATATCAAAATACATTCATCATGTATTTACTGAGTCTCATACCGGCACCATACTGGGATATAAATACCGCTCTTAAAGAACAGTGCCATCTTAAATCTAGGAGGTGCAAGGTCGCACACTGGGACTCGTAGAGCAAGGAGCTGAGGCCCAGGGCCATTGCACAAAGGCACTGACCGCTGAGTACTGCCCCAGGATGTGATGAGAACACTTCCATCTTTGCACACGACTTTTAGTACCACTTGATTCCCTGGGTAAGGCAGCACCACAGGAGATAGGGGGATGCCAGAGGGAGAGGTGAGAAATCCCCAGAGAAACACCCTCTTCTGCTTCTCTCTTTGACAGAGAGTGACCAGGCCTCTGCCATGCAGGAGGGTGACGTCCCTGGGGAAGGCCTTGCTGAATCTGCCTGGGACTGTTCCGGAAGTAGGAAGGGCGGCTGGGGGTGGGGAGACAGCAGGAATGTTCTCCTGGCTTGCTGTTCAGTACAGGCGAGTGTGCTGAGAGGAGGGCCTCTGGACATCAAAGGTTCCTTTTGTCCCCTTCCGAGTGGCAGGGCAGCCAGGCCGCTGGCGATGACTCAGGCCTGGCCCTGACGTCACCCACGCCGGGCCACTGGCCTCCCTCTGCAGCCAGGAAACTGGCTGGGGAGTGGCACTTGCAGCTGCAGCAAATCTCAAAATAGGGAGGCAACTGCCTCTCCTCCTCCTCCTCTCCATCTCCTCACCGCACACCTTTCTTTTCTTCTTCTTCTTCTTTTTTTTTTTTTTTTTTTTTTTTTGCCTCATGGAAGGTTTCGCTTGTAGATCAACTTTCAAAATGTAGGAAGTCAGAATGAGTGACATCATCAGAAAAATATGTGGAGCTGATCTCAACAAGAAGTGAAGAACCCAGAGCAAGAAAGCGGTTATAACTCTTGAGCCCAGGGAGTTGGCAGCGTCTGGGTTTCAGAGGAGCCAGCATCTCCGAGTAAGTGAAGGCCCACCCCTGGTCCCCCTCACTCAGCGCCCTACACTGTGGGGCGCCATCTTGTTTCCTGACACCTGTGGCTTGGCAGGCCCCAGCCCAGAGGGAGGGAGTGGGGATGTATTTGGGAGACCTTTCAAATTTAGTACCAAAGGGATTTTATCTGATCTCTCTCTTCTCACGGGACCAGACAAGAGTGCATTTCCTCTCAAAAAAAAAAAAAAGTATATATATGTGTGTGTGTATGCATATAT